TTCCCCATAACCCTCACCTCATTTTTAAATAATTTTCAAGCATACAGAAACAAGTATAGAAAATGATAGAACTGAAAACATACGTTTATTCTAAAGAAATAAAATGCTACTAATGTTTTTGAGGCCTCCTGTGTGCCCTCTGCCAGATCCCATACCTGGGCATTCGGAGTCCTTCCAGTTTTTCCCCATTATTCACAGTGTTGCCGTGAAGCTGGAGGTGTTCCCACCCTCTGGCTCAGTAGTAGCACTGCATCATTAAATAGTGCCATCTCGTCCTTCAAAGTGTGTGTACCCATTTACGCTGCGCTCAGCAGATCTTAGCATGGTCAGTCCTTTTTTTTTTTTTTTCCCATTTCTGCATATCTAATGAGTGTGAAATATTATATCCTTTTTGTTTAATTTATGTTACATTGATTACATATGTTTTGAGACTATTGGATATCCTTTTCTGAGAACAATCCATTCATATCCTTTGGTCTTTTCCATCAGAGCTGTTTATAAAATTAGAACTAAATCTTTTCTTGGTTACATGCATGCCAAATCTCTTCTCCAAGTTGAAGATTTGTTATTTTCCATTTTGTTTATGATGTCTTTAATCTACTGAAGAGTTTTTTAAAAAATAATGTATGAATCTTAAATTCAGCTGACTTAAAAATAATAATAAAATGAATATTTTAATGTCATCAGATTGATTGATCTTTTTGTTTATGGTTTGTACTTCTGGTGTTGTGTTTAAGAAATCTTTTCCTACCCTGAGATCATAAAAACATTCCCCTTCATTTTCTTCCAAAACTTTTAACGTCACACTTTTTCATATGTAAGTCTTTAATCCATTTAAATATGGTCTGATATAGGGGGTCTAACTTATTTTTTCCATATGGATAACCAATTGTTCCAATGTAGCTTGCTAGAAGTCTTCTTTCCTCACTGATTTGAAATGACATCTCTGCTTTACACAAATTTCTACGTATGAGTGAGTCTGTTTCTAGACTCTATTCTGCCTTTCTCTGTGCTAATATCACATTATCCTATTACTATAATTTAATTAAGTCTTGCTGTGGTAATGGAGTGAGTCCTGAAATGTTGAACTTCCTCTTCAAAATTGTTATGGCATTCTTGGTCCTTTGTTTTACCTTATACAAATTAGATCAACTGGGGAACCTCAAAAATCTTCATTTGAATTTTAATAGGAATATATTCCATTTGTAAATTGCATAAAATCAATATCTTTAAAAAATCAATTCTACAAATCCATGAATATTGTGTATCTTTCCATTTATTTAGGTCTTCAAGAACTTATAAAGATTTTTTTACATCTTTTGACAGATTTCTTTCTGGGTACCTTTACATTTTTGGTTGCTATTTTCACATATATATTTTCTAAACTATATTTTTCTGGGTGTCCATAGCCAGTAAATAGAAGTTTACTTTCTTTTTCATGTTAACAATATGTTCTTAGACTCTCCATTAAGGCACTTGTTTAATCATGAATTGTTAAGAGGGTTAAAAAATTATTTTTGCCAGCCTGGTACCTTAGCTCACGCCTATGATCCTAGCACTGTGGGAGGCCAAGGCGGGACGATGGCTTGAGGTCAGAAGTTTGAGACCAGCCTAAGCAAGAGTGAGACTCCATCTCTACTATAAAAATAGAAAAAGTTAGCCAGCTGTGGTAGTGTGTGCCTATAGTCCCAGGTACTCGGGAGGCTGAGGTAGGAGGATCCCTTGAGCCCAGGAGTTTGAAGTTGCAGTGAGCTATCATGATGCCACTGCACTTTAGCCTGGCCAATAGAGCAAGACCCTGTCTCAAAAAAAACCAAAAATTTCCAAATATATGGTTTTGTTTTAATTTTGCTCCTGGTATCTAACAGTTGTTGAATGCTCAAGAACATAGTCTGTATGATTCTCTGTTGCATATCAAGGATTGCTTGTGGCCTCCTCTGTGATCTTTTTTGATAAGAGTGCTTGTGTGTGTGAAAAGAATGTGCCTTCTCTGCATAGGTCTTTTTTGGTTGTTTGCACATGGAGTTGCCCCAATCTTCCATACCCTTTCTTTCTGTCATCGTAAACTACTAATTACTGAAAGAGATGTCTCAAATTCTCCCCCTATGACTATGGAATTGTCCATTTATCTTTGAAATGTTGTCAATTTTTTGTTTCACATATTAATAATTTGATGCCATGTTTTAGTGCTTACAATTATATCTTTCCAATGAATTGTTCCTTATTATCTTCATCTAGTGACTTTTTCCTAATATTCATTTTTGCTTGAAAGACAGTCTTGTCTACTCTTAATATTACCACACCACTTTCACTGGGCTGATATTTTGCTGGCATTTTTCATACTTTTACATTTAACATTCCTTTGTCCTTAAGTTCTTAATGTGTCTTTAAAAAAAAAAAGCATATAGCTAGATTTTCTAATCCAATATGACTGACAATGTCTTTTTTGTTTAGAGTTTAATTTTACTTATTTTCTGAATTCTACTATATTTAGATCTGTTTTGGGCATCTCGTTTTATGCTTTATACTTAACCCAATTTTCTCTGCTTCTTTTCTTCCTTTCTTGCGCCTATTTTATTGACCAATTTTTTTTCATATCATTGGTGTTCTCTCTACTGGTTTGAAAATCACGCATACTATTTCTCTCTTTAAATGATTACCTTTACATAATTTTCAATAAGCATGCTTCATTTAATAAATTCTAAACTTAATCAATATTTTCACCCTTCTCCCCAAAATGCCTGAATGGCTGAACTCTGCCCATCTCTGCTGATCTTTTATCCTATTATGAACAGTACCTTCATTCCACCCTGTTTTATACCTCCCAATTAGTCCTTTTTATATATTAAATATTTGTCCAAATTTATCTAATATTGTACATCTCACTGCTTCTTTCTGAGGTCAGTTTCTTCTGAAGTATATTCTTGAGTAACTCTTTAGCAATGATCTTTGAGTGGTAAATACTCTCAGTTTTTGTCTGAAAATGTTTATCCTGCCCATCTGCTTGAATGATAATTAAGTCGTAATATAAATTGATGGTTATTTGCTCTCAGCACTTTGAATCTATTTATTCCATTTTTCTTCTGGCTTCTAGTGTTGCTGTTACAAAGTTCCGGACAACCTGGTGCTCTTTCTTTTGCAGGCAATGCTTTTACCTATGTATCAGTGCTCCTGAGAGTGTGACCTTTACACTTATTTTAGTTACTCTTGTTTTAGTTACTTTTTAGTTACTCTTGTTTTAGTTACACTGTGCTGTTTTCAATGGAGGATTTCATGTTATTTAACCATCTGGGGTTCATAACTTTCACTAGTTCTCATATTGCATCTTGAACATCTAATGTGTGTTGGACCTTCCTGCTCCACGTCCTTGTCTTTCTTCCACATGTTCTGTTCCTTCCTCTCTCGCACAGGCTTCTGAATAGTTCCCAGATCTTTCTTTCCCTTCACTAGTGATTTGTTCAGTGATTTGTAATCTCTGGTTTAACATATTAAATTTTAAATTGTAATTTTTAAATATCTGAGTTATGTTTGATTTCTTATTTATCTCAATCCGGTCTTTGTTGATGGTGTCTTCTTCTTTTGTTTCTTTATTACTTCTTTCATGACTTATGGTTTGAAACATGCTTATTTTATAATCTGCCTCTACCTGATAATTTATGTTTTATCTGAAGTTGTTGGAGGTTTCATACAGCTTTTTATTTTGTTGGCTAACTTGGTTTTTGTGGGTTGTTTTCTCATGTGTTTGGTAATTTTTCATTGTAAGTTAGTCTTTCATTGGGGCTTCACATGGGGGTGTCTAGGGTGAGGGTGTGGCCTTCAGAGAGCTTTTTATGTTTGTTTCAACCTAGTGCCACTAGGATACTATCAACCTGTGACAGCATTCTTGGTGCAGTGTGTCCCACAAAATGGGACACTCTAGTAATATGCACTTAAATATCACATTCATGGGAGGGCACATACATGATTACGAATTTTAAGGGAAGCCTTTTTGCTCTTGCTCAGACAGGCTTCCTTGTCACCTCCCTGTGTGAGAAGGCAACTGTTTTTAACTCATCCTTGCACTAGGGGCTCAGTTCCAACTTCCTGCCCGCTCTTCCAGGCCCCGGGCCTCCTGTCGTGCACCTGCTGGTGGTGAAAGCCTTCGCTCCTTGACCATCAAGCCTAGTCACTAGCCTGGCCGGAGACCCTCTCACCCCGCCCCGGCAGCTCAAGGTCAGCTCCTGCTGTCTCACAGCTCTCTCTTCATTTTTGACCCTTCAAGATTCCCTTACTTTCTTGCAGATGTAGCTATGCATTTGCTAGACTTTATTCAGCATTTCTAGAAATTTGCAAAAGACGTTATTTATATCACATAGAAACCCATATTGCTGAAAATTATACAATCTACTGCTCAGTAACCTAAAGATGTGCCTTCATGGCGGCCCCTTGTTAATCCACAGATATGCCACAGTTCATTTGCACACCTAACATGTTCTTCCTTGTGTCCCAAATGGTCCCTCATACTGGATACGCAGGTATTTCTGATGACGGCCATTCTTGATGAAGCATTTGCAGGTTAACTACAGGCCACATTACAAAAAAAAACTAGAGTATCTCACAGCCTATATCGGATGTGGGGATGCAGGTGGGAAAGAAATGGCTCTGAGTCCTAACTTGGGGTTTCCTTGAATGCAAGAGAGGAGTTTACAGATGGGTTGATCTTCAGTTTCACTGGAAAGGGAAAAGAAAGTGAATACAAAGGAAGAGCTTCTTGCTTTTCTGAAACCACTAGCTGTCACCTTCATGTCTTTCAGCTCTGTGTCTACAAAAAGGGAAAAACCCCACATCTTTAGAAAACATTGTGGTTACACATTCTCACTGCCAAGGGCAAGTGTTCATTAACTTAGACCAAGAACAAAGCCAGCCAGTGCCCTTTTCCGGGTCTTGTGACCCTCAGCCCCTTCTGCCTGCTTGTTACTTACATCTGGGGCTTTGTCCTTTTATTTCTCTCAGAGAACATGTAGATGGAGCACGTCATGACATTTTGAACTCAGACATTTAAGAACTTGGTCAGAGTTTGGGAACAAGGGGAGAAAGCTCTAGAATGTTCCCTTAGTTCCACTCACCTACTTCTCCCAAGCCAGGGGCTTGAGGGGATGGTGCAAAGAGGAGGAAGTGTTAGTTCACTATGTTCTCCAGAAGTTTACATAAGAAGCCTGTTCCTGAAAGTGGACCTTGCTGCCTCTCTAAAGTCCTACAGGACATCTCTCTGAAGGTCCGGGCCGGGGTGAGGGGAGCAGGTGCAGAGGGACCAGGGCAGTTCTGTGAGGAGCCCGGAAATCAGTGAGGTGAGGATTCAGGGAGGGAGGAGACAGGATCAGAAGTAAAAGGAACCGAGAGGGCCGTGCCCTTTAAGAAAAAGTCCTGCAGGCAGGGGCCGGGAACAGCTTCTTTCTCACTCTTATAGTCCTTTGACATCCCTCAAATGCTGAGTGAGTCGCAAAAAAAATTAGCCAAAAGAAGCTTGTGGTGGGCAAGGAATAGCGCATCTAAGGCCTGCTGCCAGGGGATGGGGGCAAAACCCACTGTCAACTCCGCCATGCACCCCTCTCCAGAACCAGCTTCCTGAGTGGACCCACCCGAAAAATGAGGAAGTTCTGTAAAAGGGGAAGGTGGGGGTTCCCCCTGTCCCCAGTGTGCCTTCTGAACCTCTTTCCAGAGAAGGGCTTTTGAGTGGAAAGAATGCACTTAACCCAGCGCTGCCAACAAACCCACCACTGCAGCGAGCGCTTGTGGCGTCCCTGGCAAGAGTCAGGCCTGCTGTGGTCAGCCCCGGCTGCCTCTCCGCCCCCAACGCCCCCAGTGGAGAGGTATTACCCGCTGGCCACCAGGTCTTGGTCCCCGCTCCCACAGCCCTTCCCTCAAGCCCACAGAACCTTCACAAAGACCTTCCGCCACTCACGCTCCTCCCAGCATTAAGGTTGAACCACCACGGGCTTTTGAGAACCACAGAGGGGCTGAAAAGGAAGCCCAAAGCGTGGATATGTAAACTATGTTTTTAAATAAAATTTCCCCGTTAGGTTTTTCCCTTAGGGCTACTTCTTAGTCACCCTGTACTTTCCAGTTACGGGCTTATTTGTCCGCTTAATGAACCAGGTAAATAGAAGTAACTCTTATTTCCTGTACCTTTTCTTTCCTTTCTTTATTTCTCCAAGAAACCAAAAGCATTTGGACATGCTGCTCATCCTCTCTGAAAGAGGAAAGAGGCAGGTGAAATAATTCCTATGCTGAACATGAGGACGAAACTACACAACCTAGCAAGTGTCACTAAAACAAAACACAGGGAAATTGGTCTCTGGTTTGATTTGAGACACTGAAGGAAAGAAAAGCTTCCCTCTTCCCTGGGTTTCCCAATGCACAGCACAGTCCTCCAAGGACCATGTGAAGAAAACCTTCCCTGGGATGGGCTTCTGGTGCAACAGTAATATCTAGGCTGGAATCCATGTTCACATGCTTCTTCCCACATCTTTGGGCTTGCTTGCTCCTCTCTAGAAAATTCTTACCCTGAATCCCAGCCTGACCTCCTCTTTCATTTCATCCAAGTGTGTTCAAATGTCACCTTTCCAGAAATGTCCATCTCAACCGCCCTATATAGAGACCTAACCCCTGCGGCTCCCCCCACCTTGCTCTGTTGTTCCCCACAGTACTTCTCACCCCTGACGTCACTGCACGCTGTCCATTTGCTTATACTTTGTCTCTTCCATGTCTTATTCACTTCTTCTGGTCTCAGGTCCTTGGAATAACACTGGACACATAGTAGGTGCTCAATAAATATTTGACAAATGGATTAAGAAATGAAGAAAGTTGCACTTGAGAGGGATATTTGGCGATTTGCATGACCAGCTTCCATCTTCATCCCTCCTTATTTCCATGTGGTGAGAGTTGAGGCCACTGTGAAGTTAGCAAACAGTCCACATGGGACCACCCACACTTATGACATCAAGACAAGTTTAAGGGGTTCCCAAAGCCACCCTCAGGCTTGATAATTCACTCAGAGGACTCACAGAAGTCACAGGAAGCTGTTATATTCATGGCCGACGTTCATTACAGAGAAAAGATACAGATTAAAACCAACTAAGGAAGAGACATATAGGTGGGGCAGGGTCTAGGAGGGGTCCAGACCTGAAGATTCCAGGCATCCCCTACTGGTGAAGTCACGGACAGCATTACCACCTCCTGGCCATGACGTGTGACAGTGTGCAAGGAGAATGGCCAACCAGAAAAGCTCACCAAGCTTCAGTGTCCAGAGTTTTTATTGGGGTTTTTTATTGAGGTCCATCACATACCACCAACATGGCTTAGCTCTGGTTTCCAGTCCCTCCAAAGACAGGACTAATTCCCCCAAAAGCCTCCATCATAAATCATATTGTTAGACTGTCATGTGGCCAAAGCCACCGGACAAAGACATTTCTATCAGTCATGATACTCCAAGGGCCTAAAGACCCCCTCCCCATAGCCAAGGGCAAAGGCCAGACCTCTCTTTGGGGCTAGTTAATTCTTCGCTACACATGTGCCATGTAACTTTGTCATGCCCTTAAGCTGTGTGTGGGAATACTCCCCCCACCTCTTGACCTTGGGTTTGGTAGTGTGACTTCTTGGCCATACAATGAAGCAAAACCCAAAGTGCGCTGATTGCACTTTCTTTCTTGCATCTCAGCCATCACCATGAGAAGACTATGTCCAGGCTGGCCCACTAGTCCCAGGAAGAAGATGAGAAACACGTGGAGCAAAGCTACCCCATCTCACCCCCATTCTGAGCTCAGCCTGGAGCTGATCTCCAACCCACGGGCTGACCACCTACAACTACATAAATTCCTGCTGTTGTTTACTGTTTATGATTGGTTTTTAAGCAGCATTATTGTGGAAATAGTTAACCGATAAAGATGTCAAACCCTTAAAAACCATTCATATTTTACTGTGAGTTTGCTGATCCTATTAGAGCTCTTTCAGTTGTGATTGAAACAGGGTAGCTTGAGAAAATGGACACAAGTTGACAAAGTTTGGATGGACACAAATGATGAGGGAGGAAACTTGGGAGGTCTAAAGTAGTGACTGCAAACACAGGTAACTCCAGGGCCAGGAAGGCAATGTGAGTGAATAAAGACAGCCAGTTGCCTGATAATAAATGTGACCTAGTGTGAGGCGAAGCAATGGGGACTAGTGGGGACTATGGCAAATGAAACAGCAGTGGCCCATCTAAAAGGGGAAGCCACCACTTCACTCCCACCAATTGTTGTCTATGTGAAAATGATAACCCACCATTGTCAAATCTTTCAAGTATTTTTCAAAGAAGCTGAGGATATAGATATTTATATGAAGTCTCTTAAATGCTACAAATGATTGACTTTTGTGCAAAACACTGTGCAAGACAAATCAAAGACACCTATGGTTGTCAGTGTGCAATTTCTCAGTTATGACATCATGTGCAACATCTAGGGGCAGCAGGCTTGTCTGAGACCTTAAAGAGAGGACCCTTGATGGCTTTCATCAATATGAAGTGACTCGTTGCTTCCTATGGGTGTGGGTGATGGGTTTCAGCAGAGAGGAATAGTCATGCTACGAGGAGAGATGACATAACAAGTGGATGCCAAAGGCAAACTTATCCACCATCATTTGGCCAACGGCCTTTCCCATCATAGCTTAATGGAGTCACTTAAGGGTTATAAAATGACTTGTTAGCGATTTTCTTCTTTAGGGATGTAACACTCATAATAATCGGGCAAGGCATAAAGCATCTGTCTTAGTCATTTACAGACGTCACTCTGTGACAATGCTGGGGAATGTTTTAGAAACTCAAACTATACCAGTAGTAGCACAAAGACGGGAACAGTCTCTGCCTGGGGTTCAGGAGCAAGGCAGGAGATGCTAACACAGCCCCCACACAAGCCCGCACCCCCGCTAAGCGCAGCCCCAAGCACCAACCCTCCATTGTGTTTGCAGAAGTTTGCTCTTCAAAAGAGAGAAGCGAGAGGTGGGCTTTTTTCCTGTTTGTGACTAAAAGCTATGGACATCGGCACCTACGCTATTTTCCAAAATGGAATTTAGCTGTGGACATAGTAGAGCTGCCAGTTAAGCCCCACGGACTGCCTCCGGGTGTTCACTCTCCAGTGTCGGGTCCTGATGTCAGCTTTCCTCTGCTCTACGTGTGCAATAATTATTATTGCAGAGACAAGTCGTTTGTTAGATGATGATATTTATTTAGCACCAGGTGTCCTTTGCCTCCCCTCATTCCCTTGCTGCATGTAGCCCTGGGGACACTGCAGAACATGAGAATTCTGGGGGAGGCCAGGAAAGGTCTGCCCAACCCGGACAGACCTGAGAGCAGCTGCCCGCAGGAAGAGCCAACACAGCAGAGCATTTATCTCTAACCTTGATGGCAGTGAGGTCACTTGGTGCACAAGAGACCTGAGTTTGCTTAAGGGTTTGATTTTCAAGAACATGTATCAGCCTCGCTTCTGAAAGCACATTCCACTGGTACCTGTAAGAGAAAAGAAACTGACATCTACTGAGTGATACTCACCAGACATACACATGACACCATTTAATCCTTACCATAATTCCACTTGGACACAGGAGGAAACAGATGCCTGACCCTGGAGCCCACTGTTAGCCATGGTCATCGTGTGTCTTGATTTTTCCAGATTTTGAATACTCTGTCCCACAGTTATACCTTCTCCCCTGTGGAATGGTACTATGTTGCTAGGCCAGTGAAGATGTTCCTATGCTTTTATAATGCCCTGCAAAATTTCTGTAGGACATTCTATAAACATCCTCTAGGTGCCTCAAGTGAGTGTCAAGCCAAAAGAGAAGAGAGAATTCAACTTAGGTTCTGGTCACTTACATTATGGAGAATCAAACAAGCTAAAGGTCCTTGAAGACACAGAGACAGTAGCTCACATGAGGGCAGAACATCGGGATGTCGCTAAGGTAAAGGTGTCTTTCTCATGTCTCACGCCTAGCAGAATAGACCCTCCCGAAAGATCTAAACATGATATTAGTAGCATGGTCAACCATGCTAATGGTAGGCTTGCACGGGGACTTGAGTCCAGAAAGTGCATCTGAAAAAGGAAGATCACCAGCCAGGAAAACGATAAATGAGATGTCTGGGAGCTGAGGCCAAGATCTCAGCGGGCTCTGAGTGTGGTCAGCTGGCCCAAGCTGGAATGGGACTGAGTGTGTCTGAGGAGGGACCAGGAAGGCAGATAGGTGGCCAGCATCAGGGGTGCAGCAATGTGTGCCAGGCGCTAAGACTGGGGACAGGAAAGCCAGGCTGGGAAGCCTCAAGAGCTCCAGACAACTAGAAAGAGTCAGGCAGGACCATGACGACCCAGCTGAGCTGGAGCATCTCCCTTAGGGCCTTGCCTGGGGTCAGACTTGGTCCCCGAGCCCCCGAGCTGATTTTGAGAGCCTTTATCAAAGGAATCTCCACTGACTGGTATTTTTTAACTAACTTTGGTGTTTGGTATTTGGGTTCAAAATACATCTGGACAAAAAGAGTTGTAATTCTGGGTTTTGGATTTGAAGATACTCCTATATGAGAGTGGGTATTGTGTGTGTGTGTGTGTGTGTGTGTGTGTGTGTGTGTGTGTGTGTGTGTGTGTGTGCGTGTGTGTGTGTGTTTCTGCTAGATCCGAGGCATCTTCTATGGGTGGGGATAGAGGGATAGAGCCCAAAGTGCCACTTCTCTCTGTCACAGCAATGGGGGAATGTGTCAAACCCCACCCCTCCACCACCACCCCTTCTCCCCACCCAGGCCCCAGGTGTGAACCTCAGAACCCAACCCTGAGAGGAAGAGCTGATGGGACCTTTTCTCTCCTCCACGCAAGGATCTCCTGATACAGTACGGAAACAGAGATGGCTTTTGTCACCTGTCCTGTCCTGTGTGAGCACGTCTCAGGGGACCCCAAGTTCAGTGTGCATTTTTCTTTTACCTCAAAAGGATGGATATCAATTTCTAAAGTAATAATATTACACAGCTATGACTAAAAGAAAAACTTTTGAATCTTGAATCTCAATTTTATTTCTAGCATCTTAACTGGTCATAGACCATAATCTTTAATTCTTACTAAAAACCCAGCTCTTACATCCTGTGGGGCCCAGTTGTCACCTCACACATGGACCCCATCCTGAGTCCATCAATAACTCCTGCTACCTGGAGGGCTGATTTCCTTGGCACTAGCTGGTTTCCCCGGAGGAAGACCAGATGCATGGCCAGAGCAACACTGGGGTTGCCCATCCACCCAGGGTCCAGGTCACCTGGCTGGGACACTTACATTCTTCAGTATTGGCTTCAGCTGTTTGGGGATTCTCAGGAAGTCCGGTTAGGAAAGGAAGCTTGAAGTAGGAGGGTGTTTTTCAGCACTTAGGGGCTCTTGGGGAAAGATCTAAAGCTTGAGTTTAAAGCTGGGGCAGGCTCCTCGGGTAGGCTGGGATCCCTGTGGTTTGAATGGGGTTTTGCTTATTTGACTCTTTAAGGGTTTAGGCTGAATTAGGTTTACCCTCTTGAATTTCTTTATGACACCAAGTACACTTTCCATTTACCTGGTCTACACTGCAGAGGACTCCCAAGCTCCTCCCTGCAGTGGAACCCACACCAGCCCCTCAAGGTTCTCTGATTGCCTCTGGGTTTTAAGAAACAGCAAGCTCTATGTACAAATCTCTGGGACAAGCCTCTTAGACTCAGACCTCACAGCTAAATCCAACCCTGGAAGGTCGCCAGGGAAATAGGCTGAAAACGGGCATGGGGAGATTTCTAGGGGTGACAGAGACTAGAAAGAACTTCCTAGCACTGCAGTTCTGCAGGTCCTTGAGGAATGACTCATTCACATACCACTGGCCAACCCCTCTCACTGCAGTCGTCCCCACCCCCCCAGCCACTGTCCCCCATCATGAAGAGTTTGGGGTCTGGCTGACTGTCTCACTGTCATCACAACCACACGATGACCCATCCTGCCCTCTGGCCCCTCAGTTATGTCCAGGTTGACATCTTCTACCCCACCTTGCCCACCGACTCCCAAGGTCATTCCCCAGATCAACATCGAGGGTCATTGTCTCCTTTTCTGTAGACCCCAGCATTTCTTAGACATCTTTATGGTTGCTAATCCATTAACGCTATCATCTTTTTCACATCCACTTGCCCAGCGTGGATCTCTGGCCCATCATTCTACTCCACTCACCTGCATCCATGTTCCTTCCACTGCTCACCCCTTGCCCCATTTGTCACACTTGCTGGCCCAAACCCCAAGTCTGTTTAACTCAGCTCCTGGCCTACTCAGCCCCCAGACACAAGCCCCTGTAGGAAGCTAGAGAGAAACATGACTATGTCAACTGGTCTTGTTTCACATTTACCACCACAAATGCTAAGTGAGCCCTCCACATCGTCTGGGTAATTCCCCAGTCAACTCACTCTGTAATCCCCCTCTGCAAGGTGACAATTTCTCATCGTCTCCTCTCTACCCCATCTCAGCTGATGATCTTGCTGATTTCACTAGAAAACAAAATCATATGACAATTCTCACCAACAAATCTACCAGCTTACCAGACCTGTATTCTCTGGCTCCTTTCCGAGACTTCTTCTCCACTTGTGCCTATTCAAAAGCATCACAATTGTCCCCTCTCTGTCCTGGCCCAACTCTCTACCTGTTCATTCTTATCATTCTACAAATATTCTGTAATGATGCCTCTCTTTAAAAAAAAAATTCTATATGAAAGAAGAGTGGTTCTACATGACATGAATACACACCATGAAGCCCATAATGTGTATCAAATCAGTGTGGTACATAAAAATACAGACAGATCGATAAAATAAAATAAAAAGTCAAAAAACAGATACA